TCACAAAGTTCCCTTTAATTGGACCCAAACTAGATTGTCAAACTTCTTTTGGACAAAGCAAAAAGAATATTGTGTATGCCACCCATATCTGTCTCCAGACTTCTCCAAACCTTTTTCATTACAGTTTTGATGCTTGTGAGTCTGGGTTGGGGCAGTACTATTACAAAACGAGAATGAGGAGTTTTGCCAGCCTGTAGCATACTTTTCAGCCAAGTTTCCCAGCCGCATCAGAGGGCTTACTCTACATCGAAAAAAGAAGCCCTCCGCTGGTACTGGCTTTGGATCATTTCGATGTTTATGTGGGCCAGACATCACAGGTGGTCACAGTCTACAGTGATCACAATCCTCTAGTATATCTCCAAACCATGAAGAACCACAACACAAGGCACATGGCGCAGGACGCTAAGGCTCAGCCCAATAATATAATATTGTAACATAATTGCCGCAAAGAAAATGGGTATGGCAACTCTTTATCTAGAGTTTAATTTTATTTAACATAGGTTAGGATGTTATATTATTTGTGGCAACCCCTTTTCACGCTCTTTTTTTTATATCCCTGGTGTGAGGTTTTTTTTTAGTGAGGGGATGCGGGCTACTGTCCGCCCTCCTGTATCTTGGAACCTATCTAGCCCGACTGAACTGCTTGTCTCACTCCGAGATTAGGTTTGGCCTTTTTGTCACGAGTAAAGCTGAGCTCTATCTAAGAGTTCGGATGTGGAGAGGAAAGCGGTCCCCATTATTTTGTGGCCATGGCGGCACGGTTACCACTGGAGGTGGCAGCCTAATTCCTGAGCCTTCTCGGGTGGGAGTGTGGCATGCAAAGAGTACTAACCTTATTTGGCGCAGTACACACCCTCATTACAGGCTATCTCCCCCAACCAGCGAACTAGGTTTGCTGGAGAGTTGATGATGGGGGCCCCCTTTCCGTTTCAACTAGTGACCAGGTTCCAGCCTAATAAGAAGATGGTTTTGGCAATCGCAGAGGTTTATGTGGTACCACACACCTGTCTGCCCTTGTTTTCATACCCCATTCTAGAGCTGGTTGAAGCACGGTCTGCTGTCTTGTGGCTTCTATTTCTGCCTTGCTTACCGTGGAGTGCACTGTACTTATCACTGTACATAGTGTACATACTGCTGTTCTAAATTGGTGAAGGATAATATAAGTCTAAACTTTTTCTGCTGTGTTTATTTTGCTCCCTTTACACCCAGGATTACAGGCCATTTGGAATCTTGGGTTGTAATAGGGGCCCTGAAGCTTAAACTTTATTAGCCTAATAGCATATCCGCCCCAGGTTCTGGGTACTTGTTTTTGACATGAAATGGTCCATCACAGTGTGGTCTTCATGGTGCCACTTCATCCATTGTCTGAGGCTGCCCAGAAACAATAAATAGGTATTAGCATTACACTGGGCCGGGTCCTGTGAACAGACCTAATTGTATGCACTTCGTAAGTCAAATTTGGTATTCTGCAAAAACCGCTGCCGGATGACTGTTGAGACAGTACCATTGATGATACTCCTCTACTATAACTGATTTCAGGTTACAGTGTTTACCATAAGTAGTTTACGTAATTCCCTTAGAAACTCGTCAAGGCTGTCACCAAACTGCTGCCGCCGTGTGGCCAAGAGTTCTGCAGCAAATATTTCATTGGGAGTTCGCAGGTACACACAAACTGTAGCGCAGATATTCATATACGCTGTGCTATACACTGTTCGCTAGCGCTGTGAACTGATGAGAGGACATTGTCCCCACACTCCTCGATGTAGTTTGTGAAGGTGCGATATCAGTGCTTCCAATCCTTGGCTGCTGGAGATGAGTTGTAAGACTCACCTGGCTTGGGTTCAAGCCGCACCCGTTCCCTGACTCAAGGTAACGTCTCTGTCCAGAAGTGTCACTCTCACTACCTTCTCCATGATGGAGTTGAGTTGTGGTGACTGAATCACCTGACTGATACTCTCCAAGCACTGACACATTACCACACTTATCTGCAACAGCACAAAACCTCATAATACAATCTACAATGAACTTAAACTATGGCCATGTAATGTAGATTAATGTGACTGACGAAATCCAGTGTTACCATCATCAGAACATAAGATAAAAGCACTCCAGGCGCAACAACTACAGTAATTCCATAAGGGTGAGTACAAAATTATATTTATTGAGAGCACAGTTCACTCATGTTGTTTTCTTCGTTAATTAGCGTCCACACACACACGTATTGGTATATATAATTTTTTTTATTAATATTAGTTTTGTTATTTTTTATTGCTGAGAATCAATAAAGATGTAACAAAGTGACTTGTGTTGATAACTTGAGTTATCAATAGAGTATATATACACCTCTATGTATACACCTTTGAGAATATACAAGGGGTATACACACACACTATGTATACCTCTCAGATACAGTCTTAAGAATAAGTTGTATAAACATTTAAGTAAAAAGGTTTGAAATTGAGAAGGAGCTGCCTGGTAAGGGGCCAGTAGGCCTACTGTAGTCTTTCCACATTCTCGTGTTTTCATTTTCCCATTGGACTTGACGGATAAACAATCATTTGTTATCTTGTCGGCCATATTTGACGTGAAACAGCATTACCAATGTTGTGAGACTGAAACAAGAACTATGTTAGGCAGGTCCTACCAGGCTCATGATTGGGTGTGGTTGGACCTGCCAACCACGACTACCACCACTGGTTGTGGTGGAAGTTTTGGTAGCCGTGGTAATGGTGGTAGTAGTGGGGGTGGTGGTAGTGGTGATGGTGGTAGTGGTGATGGTGAGAGTGGTGATGGTGGTAGTGGAGATGGTGGTGGTAGTGGTAATGTGATGGGGTGAATGGTGTTAGTGGTGATGGTGGATGTGATAGTGGTAAGTGGTGAAGGTGGTAGTGGTGATGGTGGGAGTGGTGATAGTGGTATGTGATGGTGTGATGGTGGGTAGTGGTGATGGTGGTGATGGAGGTAGTGGAGATGGTGGTAGTGGTCATGGGGAGTGGTATGGTGGTAAGTCGTGATGGTGAAGTGGTGGTGATGGTGGGTAAAGTTATGTGGTAGTTGTGGTGAGGTGGTGGTAAGTGGTGATGGTTGTAGTGGTGATGGTGAGAGTGGTGATGGTGGGAGGGTGATAGTGGAAGTGGTGATGGTGGTGATGGTGGTAGTGGTGATGTGGTAGTGGTGGATGGTGGAGTGGTGATGTGGTATAGTGGTGGTGGTGGTAGTGGTGATGGTGTAGTGGTGATGGTGGTAGTGGTGATGGTGAGAGTGGTGATGGTGGTAGTAGTGGCGGTGTGGTAGAGGTTGATGGTGGGTAGAGGTAAAGGTGAGAGTGTTGATGGTGGTAGTGTGATGGTGGGAGTGGTGATAGTGTAGTGTGATGGTGTTAGTGGTATGTGGTAGTAGTGATGGTGAGAGTGGAGATGGTGAATGGTGATTGTGCGGGAGTGGTGAAGTGGTAGTGGTGGATGGTGGGAGTGTGATTGGTGGTTGGTGGTGATGGTGGTAATAGTGGTGGTGGTGGTGTAGTTGGTGAGTGGTAGTGTGGTGGTGGTAGTGGAATATGGTGGTGATAGTAAGCGGTTGGTGGATGGTTGTGACGGTGGTGATGGTGTAGTGGTGGTAGTGGTGATGATGGTGGCAGTAGTGATGGGGTAGTGGTGATGATAGTGGTAGTATGGTGGTGGTAGTGTGATGGTGTAGTGGTGATGGTAATAGTGGTGATGGTGGCAGTGTGATTGTAGTTAGTGGTGATGGTGGTATGGTGGTTATGGTCGTAGTGGTGGTGATGGTGGTAGTATGGTGATGTGTTAGTAGTGGAGAAGGTGGTAGTAGTGGTGGTGGAATGGTGATGGTGGTTATTGTGTTGAGCAGAGTGATGGTAGTATTGGTGATGTAGTAGTGGTGATGGTATTAGGGTGCTGGTAGTGGTGATGGTGGTAGTGGGATGGTAGTAGTGTGGTTGGTGAAGTGTGATGGTGGTAGTGGTGATGGTAAGTAGTGGTGGATGTGGTATGGTGATGGTGGTAATAGTGGAGATGGAGGTAGTAGTGATGTGTTGGTAGTAGAGGTATGAGTAAAGTGGAGGAGGAAGTGGTGAAGAAGGAAGTGTATGATGGTAATAGTGGAGATGGAAGACAGAGGTGACTGTATAAGAGGTGATGGTAGTAGTGGAGGAGGAAGTGTGATGGAGGTAAGCGGTGATGGTAGTCGAGGATGCTGGAGGACGTGAAGAAGCCGTAGTATAGGTGAAGGTGGTAGTGGTGGTGATGGTGGTAGTGGTGGTGATGGTAGTAGTGTGATGTTGGTAGTATTGGTGATGGTGGTAAAGAAGTGATGGTTGGTGGGGGGGTGTCAAAAAAACATAGGGTGTGATGGTAAGTAGTGGAGAAGGTAGTAGTGTTGATGGTGGTAGTGGTGGAGCTGGTGGAAGTGGTGGTGATGTGGTTGGCGGTGATGGGGTAGTAGTGGAGATTTTATAGTAAATGGGAGAAGGTGGTATAGTGTGGAGAAGGAGGCTAGAGGTTTGTGAAATATGATTACGTGGTGTAAGGAAAGAAGAGGTGCAGGAAGACAGAGGATGGAATTTGGAAGAGGTGTATGGTGTAATATGTTGGTGAAGGAGGACGGCGTGCAGAAGCATGGTCTTCGATTGATAAGTGTGTAAATTAATAATGGAGTGATGGTCAGGTGAAGAAGTAGTGGAGAATGTCGTAAGTGGTGATGTAGTAGTGGTGAAGGTAAGTAGTATGTGAAAGGAATACGAGGTGAAGGAAGTGTACGTAGGTGGTGTGTAGTGGTGATGGTGTAAGTGGGAGATGGTATATAGGTGATGTAGAAGTGAAGATGGACTAAGAGGAGCTGGTGTGGTAAGATGGTGTTGAGAAGGTGGTATGTGTGGAGAAGGTAGATAGATGGTGATTTATTATAGTGGTGAGGGGACGAATTGCATGAGTAACGTGTTATAAGGAAGTCAGTGGTGATGGTAGTATTGTGATTGGTGGAAGATGTGGATATGGTGGAAGTGGGTGGAGATGGACTTGGCGGTGATGGATGACGAAGAGGTAAGGAAGTAAGAGGAGCAAGTGTTACGTGGTGTGATGAATGGTGGAAGAGGGAGCAGGTGGTAGTCTACGGTAAGGAAAGAAGTTGTTACATGGTGGTAGAAGAGTGAAGGAGGTAGTAAGTGGTGAAGGGGTCAGAAGTGCTTGAGGAGGACTTCGATATGTTGGTGGAAGTATGTGTAGGTGGTAGTAGTAGAGGTGGTAGGAGTAGTAGTGGTGGTGTTGGTGGAGGTAGTATTGGTGATTTTGGAAGTAGTAGTGGTGGTGGAGGTATTATGGTGGGGGTGGTGGTGGTAGTAGTGGTGGTGGTGGTGTGAGGTATAAGTGGGTGATGGGGTAGTATTAGTAGAGGTGGTGGTGGCTAGTAGTTGTGGTGGAGGTGGTAGTAGTGCTGATGATGGTAGTAGTAGAGAGGTGGTGTGGTAGTAGTAGTGGTGGTGGTGTGGTATAGTAGTGGAGGTGTGGTAGAAGTGGTGATTGGTGTTAGTTTATAGGTGGAGGAGGAATAAGTGGAGATGGGGTTGACGTCGAGGTGGAGGATGGTTGTAGTGGTGGAGGGAGGCGTTAGAAGTGGATGGTGGTGGAAGTAGTATTGGTGGTGGTGGTATTAGTGGTGGTGGCGGTAGTAAGTGGTGGAGGTGGCGGAAGTAGTGTAGATGGAGTAAGTAGTAAGTGTGGTGGTGGTAGTAGTGGTGGTGGTGGCGTTAGTAGTGGTGATGTGGAGTAGTAGTGGTGGGTGGTCGTCGTGGTGGTGGCGGTAGTAGTGGAGGTGGTGGCGGTAGTAGTTGTGGTGTGTGAATTATTGGTGGTGTAATTGGAGGTGTGAGGATAGAATAGGTGTGGTGGAGAAAAGGTGATGAGGAATCGACGTGATGGTGGTGAATTAAGTGGTGGTGGTGTGGTAGTAGATGGTGGTGGTGGTGGTGGTAGTAGTGGTGATGGAGGTAGTAGTATATAGTGTGGATGGATAGAAGTGGTGGAGGGAGGTGGTAGTAGTGCTGATGGAGTGAAGTAGAATTGTAGGAGTTGGAAGTAGTATTATGGGTGGTGGAATTAGTGGATGGAGGAATGTATAAGTGGTGGTGGTGGTAAGTAAGTAGAGTGTGGTAGTAGTCGTGGAGTGAGGTGGTTGTAGATGGTGGTGGTGGTGGAAAGTAAAGTTGCTGAAGGTGGTTTAGTGGTGGTGGTGTGGATTGTAGTGGTGGTGAGGCGATAGAAGTGGAGATGGTGGGTATTAGATAATGTTGGTGGTGGTAGTAGTTGTGGTTGGCGGTAGTAGTGGTGGAGGTTGCGGAAGTAGTGGTGATGTTGAATAGTAGTGGTTGGTGGTGTAGTATAGGAGGAGGCGGTAGTAGTGGTGGTGGTGCGTAGAGTGGTGTTGGTAGGCGGAAGTAGTGGTGGTGGTGGCGGTAGTAGTGGGTGATGGTGGTATAGTAATGTTGGTGGTGAATAGTGGTGGTGCGGTAGTCAGAGTGAGTGGAGGCTGGTAGTTGAACAATTGTGGTGAAGGAGGAAGTATAAGTGGTGGAGGGGAAGAGATGGTGGTGGTTGGTGAGTTATAGACGAGGCTAAGGTTGAAAAGCATTAAGTGGCGGTGGTGGTAGTAGTGGTGGTGGCGGTAGTAGTAGGAGTTGGTTGCGGTAGTAGTGGGTGGTGGTTGGCGGAAGAAGTGTGAGGAGGTGAGGGCGGTAGAACGAGGTGCTGGTGGTTAACAAAACAAGAATGTAAAACAACAAAAGACTCCACGACGTAATAGTGTTTCAGTCCGATGAAGCCACAACTCCAAACATAAGGGGGGGCGGGGAGGGTGAAGGGGGGAGGGGGAGGGGGGAGGGGGAGGGGGGAGGGGGGGGTTTGGAAAATGGAAGGGGGCTGGGTAGTGAGGGAGGGGAAGAGTGATGGGACACAGAATAATTTTTGGTTTAGCAGAACTGTATACATCAGCAGTATGCTGCTGCAATATTCCACATGATGGTGACAGTGAAGACCAGCTGGCTGTGTTAACCAGCTGGCTGTGTTAACCAGCTGGCTGTGTTAACCATCTGTCTGTGTTAACTCTCAACTGGCTGTGTTGACCTGTCTTGTTCCATCACACATTCCATATACTGTGTTGGAATTTGTCAGCCTGATCTGGGAGACTTCAGTAGCGTCAGCCTGACCTGGGAGACTTCAGTAGTGTCAGCCTGACCTGGGAGACTTCAGTAGTGTCAGCCTGACCTGGGACATCAGTAGTGTCAGCCAGACATGGGAGACTTCAGTAGTGTCAGCCTGACCTGGGAGACTTCAGTAGTGTCAGCCTGACCTGGGAGACTTCAGTAGTGTCAGCCTGACCTGGGAGACTTCAGTAGTGTCAGCCTGACCTGGGAGACCAGTAAAACAATGAGGATATCGTCCACTGTTCCGCTGAAGGTCAACACTACGACAGCTTCCATATTCCACCTTCCCGGCAGAGCTGCAGTTTATATCCCTGGGAACTGCCATCACTGAGATGGTCACTCTCATACACGTACTTAGCACAAGCCCTGCAACAACCAGCCAGAACCATCCTGAGATAGCTGTACTACCTCGTCTGTACTCGCTTTGTACACGCTTGTAACTCGCTTGACTCACGTAAACTAAGCTGACTCAAAGATAAGCTGGGCAAGGCCAAAGCTCGCAATACCGAGCAATTAATTCACGTAGTTTTTTTCATACTAGTACGACAACCGGCATGGTTCACATACACACACATACACACACATACCCAAACACACACATAACACATACACATACACATTCATACACACATACACATTTCACACACATACACATACACATACCATACACACCATACACATACACAAACCACATACGTACACACCACACATACACGATACACAACACATACCACATACACATACCATCGCAAACACATTCAGCTACAAAATAATTAATCTTCAAACAAATTTCTTAAATCAAAATAATGACAAAAAAAATGTGCGAGGGAGAGATTTGCTGCTTTATAACTAAACGACAATTAAGTGACCCTTGGCTCCCTCCGAGTTATGAGAGCTCAGCTCTTGAAAAGGAGTCAGGCTCGATTCTCGTGTGAAAACGTGTGGATGGAAGGGGGGGGAGGGGTTGGCAGAAAAGTCTTTCTACACCTGTTGACGTTGTTCATCTAGCTGCAAATAAGTTCGTGAGTGTTAGTCGGCTGGTGTGAGTGAAGGCACGGCGTTGTAGCAGGCTGATGAGTGAAGCTTTGATGAACTGAGAGTAGGATAAAAGCTCTCCTCTCAGGTAATCTTTAGTAATTAAGTTTATTTAGGCACAGGTGCACATAAGTACAATTATCATACATAATGTAAATTACCTAAGATAGCCCAAAATAAAGTCAAAGTGACTTATTTCCATTGGGGTCCTTGTATTGCCATTGGTGTCTTTGTATTTCCATAGGAGCCCATTAAGGTGAAGCAGAATAATAGCTCTTAGCCTGTAAATCCAAGGGCTTGTATCTTGCAGACCTTGAGCTATGGTAGGATAATTGCTCTTAGTCATTGAATTCAAGGTCTTGTATCATACATCCCACTGGAGAACAGAGCCCTGAAATATTCAGTGGGAGTGACTATACTAGTGTCCGCCCATCAATACTTGGCCGTGTACCCGCTCCAGGGCAAACTTGAGGATAGTTCCACTAGTCCAGCCACTACGACAACACTGGTGTTCCGGCAGTGTGGCACTCCACCACCGGCACACTCGGCTAATCACTTCCGGTATGGTGAGTCACTCCCATGCAAGAACAATGGCGTAAATTACCATAGTTTACGTGCCTTTCGACGTGGCTGAATTGTCTGTGTTGTTTTTTAAGTCTTCGATACGCACGTTAAGTCTGATAATCTAATCTGCCAGTCAGATATTTTTTTTTTTTTTTGCATAAAACAGAGAAAACTTAATGTCAACACTGTTTTCCCCATTTAGTGATACAATACCAACAAGCTGATGAATAAGACACATGTGCAGCACTTGATTAGAAGAGACACACAACATTTGGGGATCTATAAAGATTTCGAAATACTGCAAAAAGTGTCTCATTCCTACATTTGTAGGTTTGCTAAGCCATTTACATCAACACTAGAGTTGAGTAAAAGGACACAAGTGCAACTAATGTGACATTTTATTGTGGCAACGTTTCGCTCTCCAGGAGCTTTGTCAAGCCGTTACAAACAGTACATGGACACACAGGGTTTGTAACGGCTTGACAAAGCTCCTGGAGAGCGAAACGTTGCCACAATAAAATGTCACATTAGTTGCACTTCTGTCCTTTTACTTTACATATTGTCGGTAATTCTACCAACATTATTACACCACTAGAGTTACCTTTCATGGCGACAGTGACGCAAACGTTGCAACTCTCTCCAAACTAGCGAGCACAGGCTCACCTGCTCACCGTAATTCCCAAATACTGCTCCAGGTTCTGTAGGATCAAACTCTACACTTCCGGGTTTACGAAAGTGAAAACAAACATTATCTAAGATACTTTGAAACCTTCAAATTCACCTGAAAAGAATTAGCTAAACCTGGGAGGTATTAAGAAACTGGGTCTTTAGCGTCTGAAAGAGGAATGAAACTGAAATACGTAGAAGATGGCTCTGGTTCCTGGTAGATTAAATCAGTTGGTTCTTCCTAGTGAAAATGAGCTTCTAGTTCCTGGTAGTGATATTAACCTCTGGAAATACTCATAATGCTTAAATATGTATTGTTAGTGTTTAACTGTATATTGTTAGCACTTAAATGTATATTGTTAACACTTATATATAATATATATATATATATATATATATATATATATATATATATATATATATATATATATATTCTTTCTTTCAACACACCGGCCGTATCCCACCGAGGCGGGGTGGCCCAAAAGGAAAAACGAAAGTTTTTCCTTTTACATTTAGTAATATATACAGGAGAAGAGGTTACCAGCCCCTTGCTCCCGGCATTTTAGTCGCCTCTTACAACACGCATGGCTTACGGAGGAAGAATTCTGTTCCACTTCCCCATGGAGATAAGAGGAAATAAACAAGAATAAGAACTAGAAAGAAAATAGAAGAAAACCCAGAAGGGTGTGTATATATATGCTTGTACATGTATGTGTAGTGTGACCTAAGTGTAAGTAGAAGTAGCAAGATGTACCTGAAATCTTGCATGTTAATGAGACAGAAAAAAAGGACACCAGCAATCCTACCATCATGTAAAACAATTACAGGCTTTCGTTTTACACTCACTTGGCAGGACGGTAGTACCTCCCTGGGTGGTTGCTGTCTACCAACCTACATGTAACATTTATATATTATTCAGTGATCATAGTTTGAGTGTGTTAAGTAGCTGACAGCATTGTCTAACTACTGCAATTATCGTTCTGCTCGTTTTTCTGCCGGCTTCTCTAGTTGCTGGGCAGCAACAGTCCACGGGGAGTCACGTGATCAGGGTTGGGTGATCACACCTCACCTAGAGAAGAGTCTGCCTGGCCTGCGCTCATTCTCTTGTCTGTTTGACGTTGCTTCTAACAAGACGTCCCTCTCCAGCTCTCCATTGCAGGCCCTTGTTGGAAGATCGTCTCTGTCGCTTTCTTGTTGCTGGTTCTGTGTAACTGTGTTTGCAGAACATAGCCTAGACTTAGTGATTTTCGACGTTGTACTGAGGTTGTGTGTCTCATAGACACTCTGAGAAACTCAGGTCCTGAGCTGTAGCTTCTGACTTAATTTGTACTGGTATCTGTGTACTGTTACAGTCGGGGATTTTCTAATGCTGAACTTAGATTCAGTAGTATGGGAGTTTTGTGACTTTTGTGGAGGATCTGCAGATGGTCCCTACTTAGTGTCGTTATATTGTCTCCTTGTTCCTGATTCTGTGTCGCTGTTGTTTGTTATATTGCTGTTCGGTTTATCAGTCGTTTTATTGTTCGAGCAAGCTGTTCTGATTGCCAGGTTGGTCAAGAAGTTAGTTTATGTGAGGACTTTTAGTCAGTCTCCGGTTAAGTCTAGTCGAGTCTTGAGACATAGCGAACTACTTAGAGCACTTACACACATGCACACAAACTTACTTGTATATATTTACATTATGTTATTAAATGCTAACAATGTACCAGACGGTACTTAAAATTTTGCCATAAAGATGTGATATGTGCCTTCAGCACAATACTACTGTACACCAGAGAAGTGTAGCAACTTGTATCCTATATTATATTCAAATGATTACTATAATTTATTTTGATAATATACGCCTAGACAACTTTATTGTTATTAATAAACTTATTAAATTTTAATTTCTTTAGTTAGTAGCCTACCAGTTGTAATCCTGAAGCACTATTGAATCTTACTAATTTCTAATGGATAATTGGACCAGGATACTGACTACTTGTTACAAAAACCCAGTAACAGGCTGGATGCTAGAAGGGCGGTCCTTTCTAGTATTCACTGGAGATCTCTATCATTATTAGATATCGCGTTTTTTGTAACAATCCTCCAAACTACAACATCTCCACTACTCCTTGTAGCTACGATCTCTTCATGCACTTCTTTTGTGTTGCCAGAGCGAGGGAGGCGGTGAATGGCTGTGTTGCGGCGTGTGTGATGAGCCTTACAGCAGTAGACGAACACCTCGGAACCTGGAGTGCGGTCATACCTTCTGCAGCGCCTGCATGACCCAGGTGCTGGCCAGGGACAGACGGTGTCCTGAGTGCCGAGCCAGCATCACCGCAATCTCTGTCACCTCTCTGCCCATCAGCTACGCCATCCTCAGATTGTCTTCCTCCGCCACGGTCCACACTCGCCGCAGAAGCAACTCCCTTCCAGAGATCATCCCTGGCAGCGAGCAGAACGCCGGTGTGTGCAGAGCCCACGGTGACCTGCTCTACTTCAGGTGCCAGAGCTGCTGCATGTGGGCATGTATAGAGTGTGTGGTGCTGGAGCATCGTGGCACTAACTTGGGCTTCTGCAGAGTCGTCAGGGCTTTCCAGGCGGTGCTCGAGGTGAATATGGAAAATGAAAAATTCAGACGATCTCTGATGAAGAAGCTTGCAAGCGTAGAAAAAAAGTTGTCTGCGGAGAAGTCGTGTTTGGCGAGGGAGTGGGGGCGGCACCTGGAAAGGATCACTCGCCTACGTTCGCAGTTACACGAAGAAAAGAAAGTGGTTGTTGACATTCAACGTAAAAACGAAGAGATGAACAAAATACAGAAGGATTTGGAGGCTTGGAGTGCAACGGTCCGAGACTTATACACAGAGATACAGCCAGGGGGGTCTCTAAGAGAGGCGACGGTGGCGCTGCAGAACACCGCTGATGGTCTGAAGTCTGTGGAGCTTAGTATTGAGCTGGCGGAGCTGCACATGCAGCCGCTGCTAGCAGCCTCACGAGTACCCAAGATGCCTGACATCAACCCAAGGTAGTAATAAAAGTGATGTGAAGCACTACTCCTTTGTGGATAGAGACTCAGTTATATGTCCGACAGTCGTGAGGTTCGCTACCTAACTGGACTCACCTATCTGCTTAGTGCGTGCTAACGTAAGCTGGAATTTCTTACATTGTTGATTCTACAAACAGCGAGAATTCTATAAAAAAAAAATAACAGTAATAAAATTAATGAGTATTGAGGGGTTCAGACCCTGGCCTCGGCTACCAGCTGTGCCATAAGCAGGTAAAACTTGCTGTGTGTGGGTCGCTACACCTCTAACAGATGTGTTGTAGGTCCAGTTTGTTAGGTGGAGGGTGCGTGGATGACAGTGACAGCCAAAGCCTGAAAAGCGTGACAGAGGGACCACTGGTCCCATTGTCACGTGTAGGAGCTCCTGGACGTCCCAGGAAGTATATGGAGTGTTTAACATGATTTGAAGCTGCAAGGAGAAGCGGCCAATGTATCCCGCTGTGTAGTGTGGTGTTGTCATCCTTCTCCCTTAAAATGTTGATGTTGTGAGTAGCTCTGCATTTGAGTAGCATCCATATTGTGCTACTGTGCAGGGAGGACTGACTAGTTAATGACGTATTAGGAGTGCTCACTGAAGTGCACTGTGGAAAATTGCATTTACTTGGATGTATAATTATATACACAACAGTAAATGAACAATGATAACTATTATTTATCAGTTAGACAAAAAGGGAAATTTAGGGAAAATTGGTCGAAAAAAAAGGGTCCCCCTTCAAACCCAACCCACTGTCATATCCAAAATTTGCTCTGGACCTATTAAAAAAAAATGAAATTACATACACCAGGAATGTTGGTAAATATAAAAAATTTGTGGCCTGTATATTAAAAAAAATTAAAAAGGGTTTTAATATAAAACAAAATTACATAACAAAGGGAAAAAATATATTTAATATCACTCCCCCAATTTGACTGGAATTAATGTGTTAAATACCCCCCAAAAAACCTCATCTAACAAAATTCTATAAAAATAAGCTGGCCAAATTCCCACACAAATCTAGAGAGTTTAAACTGGGGTTTCCCGGAGCTGTCTTGCCCCAGTCGTCTGATATCTCAAGTTATGAGGAATCCCACATCCAATTTTTTCCCGCCTCCTATTTGAGAGGTGTCACCCCAAATTTTTAACCCTAGAGCACAAAAAATTTTTTCCCATTACAAGGGTTTCTAATACAAATAAAAAAACCCAAAGATGGCGATTCCCCGTCTGCGCAAGCAGGTTTTCCGGGTTTTATACAAAAAAATTATTAAATACAGTAGGGGCCATTATTTACATAAAACTAGAATTTCGGGAAAAAAATATATACAGTATTTTCCACTGTACATTGCGGGGGCTATTTTGTGACTACACTTAGCCATAAAGTTACATTAGCGAGATTTATGTTGTGAGTGAAAATTTGGGAGCCATAAATTGGACATTAGCAAGACTATGTTGTGAGTGACACTTTAAAACCAGTAAAGTGAAACATTAGCGAGACTATTTTGGTGAGGGGACACTTAGCCGGGAAAAGGGTTTTACTTTAAAGCAAGACTATTTTGGGGGTTTGACACTTAAAACCAGTAAAATGTACATTAGCGAGCCCTAGTTGGGGGTGACACTTGAGCCAGAAAAGGGTGTACATTAGCAAGACTATTTGGTAGTGACACTTAAAACCAGTAAAATGTAATTAGCGAGACTATGTTTTTGATGACACTTAAAACCAGTAAATTTCCCGTCATTGGGGCTATGTTGTGAGTGACACTTGGGAACCCTTTTAAAATGTATATCATGGAGACGGGTTACGAGTGATTGATCTTCTGTTTTTTAATAAACTGGAAGTTCCTTCAATCTTTTAAATAAATTTGGCGCCTCCCATGGAATGCGTTTACTCAAGCCTTCCAGGTTAATACACAAAGGTTTAAAAACGCAAAATGTTGACACTATTCTTTCCTGATGTGTTGAGATGCAGTCCCTATTTAATCCCCCTTTTTCCCCAGTTTTCCCCACCTCTCCTGTCTTTCCAGATGCCTGATAAAATGATCCATTGATCCCCACTTTCCTTTTTCCCATAATCTGAAAATTTTTTAAATTGCGTCCTCCTTAAAAATCCATAAGCAAAAAATTTTGGGGTTCTGCCTTTTGGTTTTTTTCCCTTTTAAACTAGCCCTTTTCGGGTTTTTTTGGGTTTTAATGGTAAAAGAAAACGAACTTACAGTATTGGGTACCATACCCCTTTAAAGGCTAAAAAGACGGGCAGAAAATTCATTTTGTAAAGGAAGAGTTGCAGTCATCTAACATACAAGACTATTTGCCCTTTCCTTAGCGCAATAAAACGTCAGAATTTAAAAGGCAGGGATAAATGTTATTTGGGGTTTTTGTGTCACAGAAATCTTTGCGGGCCCCTTTCTGAAAAAGGGGGTGCGAAGGGGGCGTTTTTTGGGCGAACCCCGGTTCTGAATTCAAGCCTGTTATCCTTGACGGGAAAAACAAAAGGGACCCCCAAAATAAAGGTAAATAGAAACTAAAGGCAAAAACACCCACGGGAGGAGCACCCATTACCGTCCCCTTACTTTTCCTTGAACGAAAAGTTTTACAATTTTTACATATTTTAGACCCGCAGTATAACGAAAAGACAGAAAAAGATTCATCCAAAAAGGGCAGGTCACACTTCAGAAAAAAGGGAAAAGGAGTGGCCCTGACCGTTTAAAATGAGGGGCTGCCTCACGGGGGGGAAAGTAACCCCACATCACCTTGACTGACGAGCCAAACTCTCAGGGTTTGGGTTTAAACTTGGACAATTAATACATCAGTGGGGGGGCCCCCCCAAAAGCTATTAACCCCTAAATCAAGTTGGCTGATCGGGGGTATTCCAAATGGTCGTGTGTTAAGTCGAATAAATTTTTACTCAGTTTCACGCCACAATCCCCCCCCAAACCCCCCCAAACTTTTTTCCCGTTAGCGTGGGTGAGTGCAGGGGCGCCCCCGGGTTTCCCCAAAATTTAATCTGTATTGGTTTTAAAATCTGAATATAAAAACATAAGAATTGGGGGGCTTTCTGCCCAAAAGGCCTACTGGCTCATCGCTTTCAACAGGCTTAAAATTGGGCTCATCACTGCCAAAAAAGTCTACTGGGCCCCCAAACACTCCAACAGGTCTACTGACCCCCCCACTCAGCAAGTTACTGGGCCCCCACTGAAAAAGGCCCCACGACTCATCACTGCAGTAGGTCTAATGACCCATCACTGCACAGGTCTTAAAGACCCCTCACTTTCCCAAAAGGGTTAAAAAACCCACACTGCAGCCGGGGAAATACTTTACCCAAACCCCTCCCGTAGATCTACTACCCAAACACTCCAACGGGGCTACCGACCCTCACTGCGCCGGACTACTGCCTACCCCCCAGTAGATCTACTGACCCCTCACTCCCGCAGGGGGCTACCCACCCATCACTGCAGCCGGATAGCCTTTTCACTCCCCAAAAATCTTTCTGACCCTTCACTACAAAAGAAACGGTAATTTTAAAAACCACAAAATTAATTAAAAAAGGGTTTTTAACAAAAATGTTTTTAATTTCCCCCCCCCCCCCCCCCTGATTCCCCCCCCCTTTTAAAATTTTTTTTATATATTAAAAAAGGGTTTAAAAACTATATGTTAACGAGGTTTGGGGAAATGATAGAGGGTGATAAAAAGAGAGGAACAGGAATGCCCAAAGTGAAAAATACAGACCCAAAACCCAAAGAATTTTCAGCCCGTACTGTTGTCTGGGGGAAAAAAATTTGAAATTTTAAGATCTGGGCTCAGTGGTGCGTTTCTGGGCCTGCTGCTTACCTTTACCAAAGGTTCGAGTCCCCCTTTCCCTTCTCTGTTTGTTGTTTATTCAGGGGTAATCATTCATAAAAAAGCTGTCTTCAAATTTGGGATGTATTTGCTGAGAGGGAAATGGGTTTTTGTCACCATTGACTGTTGCATAACGTAACAATGTTGCCCGAGTTACAGTCAAGTTGGCAAGAAACAAAAAGTTGCAAAAGGGTTTTGGAAAAGGTTTTCACAAAAAAAACAATAAAAGTTGCAAAAACTTTAAAAACCAAAGTTGCATAGTGTTGTATTTAAAGTTGCAAAACATAATAATGGCACCATTAACAAAAATGTTGCACCATGTAACAATAATGTTGAACACGTTACGAAAATGTTGCAGGGGTTACAGCCCAAAGAAGTGTTACACAAAAATTTGTTACGGTAAGAAAGTAAAGATAGATTTAAAGAAAGAAGTTTATGACCAATGTTGTTTTCCCGTTAATGTTACCTGTGTGGGGTTTAAACCCGTGGTTTTGTTAAACCCGTGTTTTGGTTTTCCGGGGGTTTGTTGTTTTCCTTTTTATGTTTTCCTGTGAAAAGTTACCTTTGTGTGTTACCTGAAATGTTACCTGGTATGTTACCTGTGTAAAGTTAAACCCGTTTTTGTGTTACCTGTGTAGTTTCCTGTTATGTTTTCCTGTGTATGGGTTTCCTGTGTGTGTTTTCCTGTGAAAGTTACCGTGTAAAGTTACCCGTGGGAAGGGTTTCCTGTGTATGTTACCCTTTTGTTTTGGGGTTTCCCGGATGTTACCTGGGAAGTTTTCCGTTATGTTTTCCTGTGTATGTTACCTGTTTTATTTACCCGTGTAAAGTTACCTGTGTGTGGTTTTCCCGGTATGTTACCTGTGTGTGTTACCTGTGTATGTTACCTTGTATGTTACCGTGTGTGTTTCCTTTTTTGTATGTTACCTGTGTTGTTACCTTGTGTTTTTACCTGTGATGTTAACCCGTTTTATGTTACCTGTGTGTTTTTACCTGTGTATGGGACCCCGTTTTATGTTACCTGTTTTTATGTTACCTGTGTGGGTTTTCCTTTTGTGTGGTTACCTGGGTATTTACCTGTGTTTTGTTACCTTGTGTGGGGTTTTCCTGTGTTTGTTACCTGTTTTATTTTTACCTGTGTGGTTACCTTTTGT